GCTCCTTTAATCCTTATTACTTGTTACTTAATCCTTACAACAGCTGGATGAGCAAGAACCTATTATCCCCGTTTCATGAAGGAGACAACTGAAGCTTTTCTAAGCTTTTCTGACTTCTGTCAGTCAAGGCAAGGATATGAGCTTTCTGTGCCTGGTGATGATGTAAAAAGATCCAGCTGCTAGTGTGCTATGATTCTGTGCAGGTTTCAGAGGAGCTTCCAGACTAAGAAAGGCCTAGTGATCTGCTTCCAAAACTCAGCCAGTGAAAACCCTACTGATCACAGCAGTCAGATCCACAAGCATCACAGGAAGGTGCAGGACCAGCAGCAAGCGGTCCCATTGTGGACGGGGTCGCCAGGGTCAGGAGCCAACTCAACAGCAGCTAACAATAACAACAGCTAGTTAATCCCAGGATTTTGTTCTGTAGCTAAAATACAGCCAGTGCATTACAAGTTTATTTAGGAAGTGGTCTCAGGGGCAGAGCTGTGGATCATAACATTACTGTGGAAAAGCAGGAAAGCAGGTCCCACGCACCCACCCTGGTGGCTGATCACGAAGGCTTGTTCTGATAAAGCTTTAATGTTTTCTTCATTCATCTGCAACTTTCGTGAGAGTGACCCAAAGCATTATTTAAAGTGTCATCTGATGAATTGCTAGGAAAGCCCCTAACTGTAGGTGAAGTGGCAGAGGGCCAGGGAGGAGGGAAACGTTAAGAGGATAGCCAATCCAGGGTGATACAGGTTCCAGATCATCTCCTCCTGCCCCCATCCGGCCTCATCTGGATGATTTTCTGTGCACGGTGTGCCCCCAGCACAGCCAGCGGCCTCGCCTTTCTCAACAGCACTTCCAAGCTCGTCCAGGTTAAAACCTGGAAGGCCTCCCATTGTGCTTAGGATAAAGCTGAAACTAAAGTGATTTACAAGAGTCTTATTGTCATGTTAATCCCTGTAATCCCCCACCCCAGGGCCCAGTGTTACAGACACTGGAGATGTCTTGCAGCTGGAAAGTGCTGTGTTAGGCACCGGGCTTCCTCCTGTTTCTCTTTCTGACAAGTCCTCTGGGAAACATTGCTGTCTGCTTCTCCGGTTCTTTGGTTCTTTGCCTTACCCCCAAGTCCTTGTTGCCCTTCTTCTGTGCTCTCATATCATCTTACCGTTTTTCACCCACACTACCCACTCCCTCCTTCCTGGTGCACTTAACATACTATTGCTGTAATTGTCCCCTAGCTTGTCTATCTTCATTTTTCTTACCTCCAGCCTCAGCCCCAAATTATGAGGCAGAGACCACTTCTCTCTCTGCTCTAACATCCAGAGAAGAATCTGGTGTGTAACCGGTACTCAAACATACTTGTCAAATGGACATAGTAAATGGTTCTGATGGTCTTTTCCTTTAACTCCCCCTTCCCCCTTCCATTTTCTTCTTGTGGTTTGTTGCCATCAGGTAGATTTCCACTCACAGTGACCCCATGCATGACAGAGTATGACTGCTCCATAGAGTTGTCTTGGCTGTAATCTTTATGGAAGCAGATTTCCTGGTCTGTCTTAGTCTGGAAGCTCCACTGCAACTTGTCCACCACGAGTGACCCTGTAGGTAGATGACCTTCCAGCATCATAGTAACACCCAAGCCACCACAGTTCAACACACTGACAGACGGGGGTGGTGTCAGGGTTTGGATAAGTAGAAATGAGGGTGGAGGGTATTTTGGCTCAAGCTCTGGAGCCAGGAGAGTAGGCAGGTGTGAGGGGCCCAGCCTCATCCCAGAAAGGAGGGTGTGTGTGTCAGGAAGCAGCAGCAAAAAAAAAAAAAAAAAAAATACACCACTAGGGTGGAAACTGAATGCAAAGACCTGTTGTGGTTGTCATCCAGTCAGTTCTGACTCATCGTGACCCTGTAGGACAGAGGAGAACTGCCCCATAGAATTTCCGATGGCTATTATTGTGGTTAAGTGCTTGGCTGCTAACCAAAATGTTGTTGGATCAAACCTCCTCCCAGCCACTCTACAGGAGAAAGATGGGTCAGTCTGCTTCAGAAAAGATTTATAGCCTTAGAGACCCAGTGGGGCAGTTCTGCTCCATCTGTAGGGCCACTATGAGTTGTAATCGACTCAAAGGCAGTGTGGTTTTGTAGTATTATCTTTATGGGAGTAGATCCCTAGGTCTTTTCTCCCGCAGAGCTGCAGGTGGATTTGAACCTCTGAGCTTTTGGTTAGTTAGCAGCTGAGAACATAATCATTGCACCCCAGGCTCCTGCAAAGGACCTAGAAACCAGA